TGAGCAGGGGGGTTGTAGTTGAATAGGGAGGGCAGCGGTGCCCACTGCAGGGCAAGCAGGGGGGGTGCGCTAGACCCATGTTGGGGGGGCGGCCAGTGGACCCACCCCTCCCAAGCTGCCTCCCCATGGTCCCTTGCACCCTCAGTAGTTTCCCTCCACCCCCTACTTACCTGGCACTGAGTCCAGGCCCCAGTCGCTGTGATTTCTGTGGGGGGCATGTGGCCCCTGTGGGGGAGCAGTCCATTAGGTATGCATGGGTCTGTGCCCTGCGGGGGGCAGGGGAATGACCCCTCCTGAGCAGTCCCCCCTCGTAGCCCCTTCCATGCCCACACTCACCCCCACAAACCCCACACCCCCAAAAACTTCTCACCCACATTCCTGGCCCTGTGTGGCGGGAATGAGGGAAATGGGTCACGATGTAATCTGTGGGTTCAGAATGAGGGCCAGGAGCAGAGCAGTGGTATATCAGTGCTGCTCAGCAGTGGACATACTGGTGAGAGAATGTGGTAGGGGCAGCTCTGATTTTTCCATAATAGATAAGCCCAAAGTCAATGCCAAACTGTATAGATTATTAGAATTTATTTTACTATGATAATGGAGGCACTGGTAGGCTTCCAATTTGCTTTACAATTGTCAACATATTAATAAAACATTGACCAACTGATATATCTCTCCCACTCATTTTAATTGTGGATGAACATGGATTTTGGGGTATTTTAAAGAGTTAATCTGGGATTTTTTTCAGAGATTTTGCAGGTTTTAAATAGGGAACACTGGAATTCCTGCTAGTGAGGCGAGTGGCAGGACCCAGGCAGAAAAGCCTGCTCAGTGCTGGCACCTGGGACCCAGCTTTGAAGCAGGCCACTACACAGGAACATCTTCTGGGTGACAGCTGCCTAGATGGCTGGGCAGGGACACACATGGCAGTAGTGCCACACAAAGGCTACTGTGCAGCCACAGCCCACTGGCCCAAAGGGGCAAGTGCCTCTACTGGCTCTGCAGTCTCCATCCGGGTCTGGCAGGCGTGCAGCCTTTGGGCCACATGCTGTTGCAGGTGGCAGCAGGTCATAGCAGGCAGCAGCCCCCACTGCCACACTGCTGCAGTGGGTAGAGGGTGCAGGGAACTCTCAGGGCTGCTTCAGGGCTAGTTTCTCCAGATACCAATTGGCCAGTCCCCAAAAGCTCCTGAAAGCAAGTACCCCTGAGCTACTTGCCAGGGCAGCTCTTTATACTGCTGAGGCAAGCATAGGTGCTAGCCCCAGATTCTAGCTCCCCCTGGCTGCAGATCTAGGAGGAGGCAGGCAGGGTTATTTTGCTCCAAGTGGCACAATTTGCCCCACATCAAAGTGAATGTCCAGGCTCGTGCACTGAGGCAAAAAGACCCGGCTCAAATTTGCACTGCTTCTATTTAAGCTGCTGCAAGTGCACGTGCTTGCATGTGTGGATGCGCCCAATTATTTTAACTAGTGTGCAAGACTGAGGCACTTATTTTGCGCAACTGTGAGCCACTTTGGCCCTGGGGGTGGCATCTCTGTGCAAGGGGACAGTTTATGTGACAATAGACGAAGAGGTGTTTTCCAAGTAGAATGGGAGGACAGGATTTTTCTAACAACTGTCCTGTCATAATTTATACCAAAAATTACTAAATGCAATGTTGGAACACCCTGCAACTAAGCAAGTCCAAGGTATAGTTAAGGTCTCTAAGAGGCATCACTATTTATGATCGAACTGCAGTAGAATTTTTAAGGACTAGGTCATTTGATGCCATGGAACAGTTTCTACTCCTGCATTATGAAGCAATGAGGTTAATTTAGTATATTCTTAGTCAGAGCTGAAGAACAGGCTCTAGTGTGAGCAACAAACCTTATGTTTAACAATAAAGATTCAAAATAGTCCAATTTAAAATTCAAATTAATCACTACATTAGCTACTGTACCTGGCAAAGGCCTGTATTTTGACCTGCATACTTTCATAACCTGGTAAAAATTTTTAAAAGTAAAACAGTAAAGAAAACTCCAAGTTCAGCTAAATTTTCTGACTTTAACGTACATGTCACAGGCATTCTGGAATCCCTTTTGCACCCAGAATCTTGTCAATATAAATAAGTGCCTAAACATGTAAAGAGTGTCTGAATGTGCTTTAGAGCAGGGATGGACAATTATTTGGGCAAGCAGGCCACATAGGGAGTTTTGTTGAGCTGTTGCAGGCCAGGTAAGCACTTCCCCCCCGCCCCCACATAACAGCTCACCAAAACTACTTATGTGGGAAGGGGCTGCAGGCAGGCAAGGAGTGGTGTTTGGGAGAGGGACAGCCAGGTGAGGCCAGGACCCCATCCCAAGTGCCTGGCCCAGTGTTCTGCCCACATGGGTCCTGCCTCCAGTGGTTGGCGTGGGGTGGATGGGCGGGCTAGGGTGTCTGGGCAGCAAGGCTGAGTCTGGCAGCAGCAGCTGGAAGGAGATGCCGCTAACGGAGCTGCCAGGAAATGGAGGCCTACCACTGTCAGCCCTACCTTGCTGTGAGCCTAGGGGGCAGTGGGACCAGCCACAGGTGCAATGGCTCAAGCTGCCCCTCATACCTGAGCTGTATGGGAACAAGGGACCCGCTGCGGGTTGGCCAAAATCCCTCCACAGGCCAGATCCGGCCTACGGGTCATGTTTTACCCACTCCTGCTTTAGAGCAACTAGGGGGGAAAAAAAAGATGGAGGTAACAATTAATTCTAATTCTACAGCTTGTTGGGCACTGACACTAAAGTGCTTAATGCTATTCCCTAAATAATGGTGATAACTTGTGTGGCTACAGACACACTACAGAAAATGCATTAGACAGTATAACAATTTTAAACTTAAATACTAAACACAATAGACATTATTAAGAGATGTTTTAGTATTAATATTTCTCCCCTTTGTGTACAAGAAAAGCAGGACTAAAAGAAAGCCAATACAGATTATTGCAAACACTGTGTCCCTATCTGAAGTTACTAAACAAAAATTTTACCCTTTTGCTTTCATCACTGTAGTCTATCTACTGCTATAATTCTCAACCGGGGTGCCACAAGATCCTTTTAAGGGTGCCATGCAATATTAGCAGCTATAGGTGTCTACAAACACCTACACATGATATGTAAAGCAAACCTAGAGATTTTAAATAGGAATTCATAGTGTCCAAAACTTCTGACCTGTTATGGTCTGAGTTCTGTGCAAAAGAACAACCACTCTATTATTTTTCTGTTGTCAAAAAACAAGCAAAAGCTAAGAATTGGAATTTTCTAAGGAGTACCTATAGTCTGACAAAGTTGATAATCATTCATCTAGAGTGTTGTCAGTAGGGGACATCCTTATGAATGCAAGGAAGAAATACAATTATTTCTGGGAAGAATTTTTAATTGCCCTATATGCACAGGTGGAATTGGGGATCCAGAAAATACATTCGAATTCTTGAATCCGACATGGATTTATTGTGCAACTTCCAACAACTTACTTTGAATTCAATCTGGTAAACACTCACTACCAGGCCCATTAATCAAAGGGAAGACTCACCACTAATAAGCACTGTGCTCAGCGGTGTTGTCAAGGTCAGATGCTTATTCACTGTGTCTCAGATTTGCCTCATCTCAGGATAATAGGATAAGGTGTTGCAAGTTTACACTCATATTTTTAGAATGCTTTGAGATCCTCAGCTGGAAGGTGCTAGAGAAACAAAAAGCAATATTAGATTCAACCAGAGCTAAAACTCCAAGAAACAAATCACTTTTCTTGCTAATGCCATTAGGTGACGGTAATTTTTGTTCATACATTTCCTTGAAGCATAAGCAATGCCTGCTAAATCTCCCAAGTCTGTTTGGCAACAGCTATGATTTAATTTTTTTATCTCATCAACCTGAGACTCTGAAAAGGGAGAAAGGTATCTGCTTTGAATAAGAAACCTATCAAAGAACAATAATAATAAAAATAAAAAAGTATTTAACGCTTCTGTGCAGCTATATTCATTGGTGATGGGTATAACAGGCCTTTGGGAACTTCTGAAGCTTTTTAGCTGGTTGCTTTTGCTTGGAGAGAATGGTGACATACTTTTATGATTAAGTAATTGTGTACTTAGTGTTACTTAAGATACAAGATAGGAGCCAGTCAGTTATGCACGTATTCTTTCCCTTGTGGGCTTAAGTTATGTTTATCAGAGCCAGTTGAATTTTATTGGATGTTCAAACTGCTGCATCTTCCAAGTAATCTCAAAAAATATTCCACCACAGGGCTTTTCTTACACACACAACATTTTTTCAATTGGAGACAAATTATGAAGAAAAATGCAATTGGTATCCGAGGTAGAATATTAAGGAAAGAATATTTAAACTATATTCTGAAGAGGAGAAAGGGCCTTAAGCATTACATTGGTAGTAAATAACAAAGAAAAAAACATTTGATAACTTAATTATAATCTGTTGATCCTATGTTTAAATTAAGTTGAAATTATTCTTTGTGAAGCTAAGAAGTCTTTTAAGAACCAATTAAATGGACTGAACATAGTAATCAACACAGATCATGGACTGCTAGCTTTGGACACAACAGCTAGGTTCAGTCCTCTGTTCTGCCATAAACTTCCTGTACAACTGATTCTCCCTGAGCCTCAGCTCTCTCCTCTGTAAAACAGGAAGACCAAATAGAAGGTTTGTGAGGATTTAAAGAGCACAAGGTTTTCAGAAACTATTGTAATGTGCATGCTATAAATACTGAGGAAGTGCAGAAAGCAGGAGTAGACAGATCCTACGGACCAACGAAACAAAGGGCCAAGTCTGTTAGACTGATTCACAGATGCGTATGCAGGCAATAGCTTTACTTGCACAACAAATGCTGCTGACTTAAATGTAAGTCGGTGTCTAGTCTCATTGAACTATATGCATGCTGAAGGATTAGGGCTGAAATCAGGACTCTCATACTTTTAGCTCTGCTATGGACATGCATGTTGCCATCTCTAAAGCAGGGTCATGATTTACCTCATTCAGTAGTTTCAAAATTTAATTTGTATTTGTAAAACGTTTTGGACTTTTGAATATGAAGGGGTGTATTATGCATTCATTGTTAAACAGTCTCCGTTCTCTATTTGACATGTTTTAAAATTATTGGCCTTGTACTGTGTTTATATGGGTTATTATAGCAATAAAGTTCTGATATTAACTTTGACAACTGCCTACCACAGTGCTACAACTGAAGTAATTTTCTGGCCAGCTTGGATTCACAGAAGTTCACAAAACTGAATGCAGACTATGCTTACCTCCAGACATTTCACAGATTGGAACTTATATATCTGAACAGTTTGTAGCATACTTCTGAGAGCATACTGCATTGCTAGTTTACAATATAATGGCACAGCACAGATGTAGCATGGGCAAGAGTTTTGTTTTTTTTTCTACTGACTGCCATGGAAACAAATTCTATTGCTTCACTAAGGTCACAAAATGCAAATATTTTTTCTATGGTTATTATACTACATCTTGCAATGCTTTTTTTTTTTTTTTTGCATAAAAGGTGAAATCGACTTATATTGAATTCACATACTTCATCACTGTTCCTATTGTCATTTTGTTCCTTCAGCACAAGGCCTGTTGACATGCTCCATTTAGTTGCATTAACCACCCATAAATTCTACGCACCTATAAAACCGTACTGGCTTTTAAGACAATTATCAGAAGTTACCAGAAGGGGCTCCACATCTACAGCAAATTTCAACTCCGCTTAAAATCAAGTCTAGTCCTCATCACAGCAATTCTCAGCCACGGGGAAATGGCATGCTGATGAGCCTTGAGATCATTTTCATAGTAGCTAGGGGCAGGAGGGACCTGAACAGATCATCTAGCCTGACCCCCTGCCACAGGCAGGAACTAAAGGTTGGTTTAA